AGAAATATTCCAGCCAAAGTTGAAAAAACGATCGCCGTTGAAGCTGGAAATATGCAGCTCACAACTCCACAACTTGTGGTCGTTCCACTGAACGACGGCCTCCTCACCCTCCAAGTGCTCGTATGAGCGAAAGTCACCTCCACTGAAAGACTCAAGTGAGATAACCCTCCAGGAGGGTGTTCCCAACAATGAGTCTTATGTGGTCCCAACAGTCCCAATTGTACTTCCCCCACCAAGGGTACTCTCAACCAATTGCAAGTCCACGCTTTCTCCAGGTACCACGTACGCTCATAATAGCCACCCCAATATGTTGGTTTCGATCTTCAAAATCAGTCCCACCTGGTTCCAAAATGGTCCCAGACGGTCCCACGTTACCGCCACAGCACTGGATGGTCCCACTCTCAAATCCCGCTTGCGCTGCGCGCCGCCCAAAAATAAGGATGTCTTCCTGGCGCAAACCGCAAGCGTTGCAACTCCAATAGTCACTGTCGCGAGCACTCACTCCGCGTCCTCCTCATGTCACCGGCCCACGCACCACTACCGCACAATCCCAATCGTGCATCAGCGTTAGCCCAACCTCTAGGCCACACTGAAATTCATCTTAACAGCCGCGCACCACAAAAAAATATGTGGACCCCTGCTTGCTGCGCCGTCAACCCGGTACCATGGCTGCTTCACAACACCAGCGTCAGATCACACACAAAAACTGTCTCCACTGACGCAAAACCCGCATCAATCTTCCCTCACAATAGTGTTGCCGGCGTGCTGCCAGTATAAAAAAATAACATCGACACCACCGCCAATCTCGGCAGCACGATTCCACCAAAAATGTTGCTGCCACCGTGCCAAAAAATGGTAGCACTTCCCCACCACTGCTGTTAAATCAATGCCGCCACTGCAAAATTTTCGGCAGCGCTTCCGCGCCACTACCGTTAAAACCAATGCGGCCGCCGCAGAAATCCGGCAGCGCTTCCGCCGTTGCTGCCAAAGAATCACAGCTGCCGCCAAAAATTCCCGCAGCGCTCCCGCAGTACGTCGACAGTCTTTAGTACGTCAACAAAAAGACTGTCGTCGCCGCGCCAAATGGGCAGAGCCTCCCCGACACCGCTTGCCGAAGACCTGCTGCCGCCGTGCAAAACGGGTAGAGTTTCCCCTGCACCGCTTGCCGAATACCCGCCACGAACGGCAGCACCTCCTTTCCTCTCTCACTGCAGACCTCCACTCCACTCCTCCTCTCACTCGCTGCTTCTCAGCACACCAGCAGCATAATGCTGCTCTCCACTCCACATCGAGTCAGAATGTGGGCAGCACCTCAACTGAGTGAGGATGCTGCTGGCCAGCCCTGCTTTTATAGCTGGGCTGGAGGGTAGACAACCACTTGAGGCTTAGCCAAAAAAACGGGGCTGAGCCTAGCCCTCGATCTGAACTTCGATCGAGGGCTGGGAATCTTAATGCTCCACTAGGAGCATCAAGTCCCTGGCTTTGGTTATGCACCTGGCCGCCACCCACGGCCGGGCGCAGTCCAAAATGGCAGTACCAAGCCATTTCAGGATTGCATGCTCAACTTGAACAGATGCAGTCCCATCAGCCCCTAGAAGCTTCTAGGGGCTGCACCTGTTCTACGACCGCGGCCACGTACGTGGCCGTT